GAGAGAGAGGGGGGGGGGGAGGCAGGTTGCCTTGTAAAGCGATTAGCAACTCAGATGGTACTTTCACTCTGTCACTGTATCCAGAGCATCATCTTTGCCCGAGGTGGAAACAACAGCTCTACCAGCTGGGCCAGCAGCCTGCGACATGGGGAGGGAGATAGCTCTGGGCAAGCGAGGCTATCCGCTCCCAGAAAACTAAGATCAGGTCCTTTTATAAAGCCAAGTTGCACATATAGGCCATATATGGGACAATAGGTTTTGTTAAAATGATATAATAAATATTGCATATAGGCTACAAGTCTAAATATCTGTATATGCCTGATAATACTGAATCCTGAAATACACAGGGAAGTCTTAATGCGCCCAGGACACGGTGCGTCCCCAAGCCCTGTCCAGGAAAGATGAATTGGAGTATATGTGGTGCACATGCGGTTCTCTAGCTCAGTGAGTTGACTATAATAACAATACAGCCAGAGTTAGGGTTAATTCTCAAGTGGAACCACCCATCTAAAAATGCATAAACTCATGGTACTAAAGGCTGTAACACTCTGGACACACAGCAGTGCCCACTGAACGGCGTATGCAATATACAAAACTGTAATACTGGAAATCAGAAGCCCTGGTACTCCTGGCTGCGTTCCACCGACCTGTCTGCGCGTACGTGACGCATGGGAGGGAGGGGTGGGGGGGGAGACTACTTAAAGGCGGATTAACGCTGGCAAGACATTAAATCCAACCTCCCTTCATCCAGACGCAGCGCGCAGCCCATCAACCTGATCTGAAGATCGAAAATAGGAGGGCTTATAGTAATCAGCCCTTCAGACTCCCATGACAAGGAAAAGTGTGGCAACGTCGTGGGAGCGCTCGGCACACACAGCAGGACGCTCACTGGCGCTGCGCGCTCAGCACATAACCAACCAGATAGCGCGCACAGAGACGGAGAGAGACGGGGACGGCAGCAGCATCCCGTGACGGATGCATTTTGTAGCTAAAATCGGACGCTTTGGAGACTGAGAACAACGAGAGGCAGGGAGAAGAAGGACGGGGAAATAACGCGCTTTTTTGGAGGGATTGAACAGAGTGCCGTTGTGCTCTAGTCTTCTCCGGATGCTCAGAAATGGGGGAATGGACTATACTAGAGAGGCTCCTGGAGGCTGCTGTCCAGCAGCACTCTACTATGATAGGAAGGTAAGATCAACAAAAAACCAAGAAAGAACCGAAGAATCGCAGCAGCCTCCAGGATCGTCTTTAGCATGGTTCCCAGTCCCCCGTTTCTGTCTTGTGCCTCAAGGATCTTCTGTAGCATGGTGCCCAGTCCTCCGTGTCTGTGTTGTGGATTTTTTCTGTCTTCTTTCACAGATATCCTTTTTTTCCCCTCTTCCTTCTAAACGAGACAGCAAAGTAAATCAGTCGACAGCTGTCTTTCCAGAACCTGGGATGGTGCTGCAAACAGCTTACACTAAACTAAAATTCACGTGTCATTTCGTGTATTCATCCATCCACATTATCCATTTGATATTTGTTGGTGAGTTTGAGTTGTGGTGTGTGCTCATCAGGAGTGGCAGAAAGAGATTGAGAGAGTCGGCGTTATCACATCTTTCCATTAATAAAAAAAAAAAAACACCACCACAGGTACAGTCAAAGCAACGCCGATTGCTTACATGTCATTTCATCCATTAAAATCAGAAAAACACACACCACACAGACACGCCGAGACACGCATAATAGGAAGAACACAGAAAAGAAAAAACGCATATTATCCTCAAGAGCGTCCAGTTTCAGCACTGGACAGCTCCCTAAAACCTGCACACCATCACAATTGGACTCGGCGCTCTTGGCGCACAAGTGAACCACTCATTTAAATCAGTTAACACACATATATTTACACTTATTTTCACATTGTTTGTTTGTTTGCTTGCTTTTTAGGATCCTACTAACAGTGGTGGTCATCTTCCGGATTCTAATCGTAGCAATAGTTGGAGAGACTGTCTATGATGACGAGCAGACCATGTTTGTTTGTAACACCTTGCAACCGGGCTGCAACCAGGCATGCTACGACAAGGCATTTCCCATTTCACACATAAGATATTGGGTTTTTCAGATCATCATGGTGTGCACCCCGAGTCTTTGTTTTATAACGTACTCGGTGCACCAGTCGGCCAAGCAGAAGGAGCGGCGGTACTCAACAGTCTATCTGACACTGGATAAGGATCAAGATTCACTGAAGCGAGACGAGAGCAAAAAGATAAAGAACACCATTGTTAATGGAGTACTTCAGAACACGGAGAACTCCACCAAAGAAGCCGAGCCAGACTGTTTAGAAGTCAAAGAGATCCCTAATTCGGCCATGAGAACTACAAAGTCCAAAATGAGGCGACAAGAGGGCATCTCCAGGTTTTACATCATCCAGGTGGTTTTCAGAAACGCGCTGGAAATAGGCTTCTTGGTGGGTCAGTATTTCTTGTATGGATTCAACGTCCCGTCGGTGTACGAGTGCGATCGCTACCCCTGCATCAAAGATGTCGAGTGCTACGTCTCCAGACCCACGGAGAAGACAGTGTTCCTGGTCTTCATGTTCGCGGTCAGCGGGTTCTGCGTGGTGCTGAACCTGGCAGAACTCAATCACTTGGGCTGGAGGAAAATCAAAACGGCCGTGAGAGGAGTGCAGGCTCGGCGGAAGTCCATTTATGAGATCAGAAATAAGGACTTGCCGAGGATGAGTGTGCCTAATTTCGGCCGTACTCAGTCCAGTGACTCTGCTTATGTGTAACAAACACACACATACACACACACAAACGGGGAGGAAGAAGTGAAAATATGTAAAAGAAAAAAAATATATACAACAACAAATAATTAAAAAACATGATGGACATGATGGACAGCTCCGCACGCCTAATTCGTGTCATGACTTAAAGAGTGGGCAGATTCTTTTTTCTTTCTTTTTTTTTTTTGATTTGTTGGTCTTTTAAGGACTTCATGGCAAGCGTGGATCACACGTTTGTTTACTTATTTATTATTGCACTGATGCAACTTTTTAGTAACGTTTATACTCTATGTAAGATGCTAAATGGAGACCATGTAAACGTGTTCACATATTTACTCTCTGTGGGCTGTTCTGTTGTACTTGAAGAGAGTAAATGCAAAAATTGCACTAAGAGGTGAACACTTGAGGGCCTGACCTTATGTGCTACTGACCTGACGGTGTTTTTAAGACGTTTTTTTTCTTTCCATCTATTTTTGGCACCAACCTAATTAAATGGCACCATACACAGTGGTTAAAGGAAAAAAAAATAATCTATCATCCAGATTTATATATGCATAGATATAAATCCTTACTTACTATGGTTCGACCTAGTTGAAATACATCAACGTAATTCATGTTTTTTTTTGTTTGTTTGTTTGTTTGTTTTTTTGTTGCCTGTGTTGCACCACTGACCTTAACATATGTAACCATTCCATTGCTTTATAGCTGACTTGCAAAACAGTATCTGGTGAATTTGCTGCAAATGCTAACGTCTGTGACTTCCTTAATTTATGACACACCAAAGCGCCCACTGCTTTTATTTGTGAAGTGTTTTCTTGCTTTTGTGTAATCAAGTGCCATACTTGTATATAAACATGATATATATGTATACTTATAAATATATAAATATATAATAATCATCATGAAAGCTGATTCCCTGCTTGGATTATGCTTAATGCCGCCCAATTTTTTTATTTGCTTTAAATGTATTTGTTGTGATTTAACTGAAAAAAGAAACAAGATATACAGTTCTCTGTTCTATACAGTTTCTCTGTTTTATTTTGCAAATGACTGGAATAAGAAATGAAGTGCTAGTCTTTTTTTTATATACAAGAAGTAAATGTCTCTCCCCAATCAAAGCTGATCAAAAACTGAAAAATAGCACAAATTGACATTTTTATCAAAGAATGGGCAATAGAAATCTGCTCTGGTGCTACAGTTTTTCATAGAATGGTTTTAAATGTAACCGAAACAGACCGGAAAAAAAACCAAACCTAATTTTTTTTTTTCTGTGGAAAATAAAAGTGGGATTCATGTACACCAGAAATGTGTGAGGTGCAGTACTTTGTGTCTGCTACTCTAGCTTGTGTTGACTGACCTATTACACCCACACACACACACAGACACACATATATACTGTATATCCAGAGGAAGTTTTGCCTTGGTGCAGTGAAGATGTTAGCCACACCCACTCTCTACAAAAAAAAAGAAAAAATACTGCAGGACACACCTTGTAGAGGATCTTATCACTCTGCAATGTGTTGCAATACTGGTGCTGCTTATATGAGACACATCAATACTTAAGCTCCATAACAGAGTGGCCAGAGGGAACATTTAGTGTATATGGCATGCATCAAATCCAAAACTGCCCTCAGCCCTTATGGTGAGTTATACATTCACAGTGTCTCACTGTGAACTTAGTTTGTGACTTTCCTCATGCTCTGCAGGAATGATAGAAGCTGATCATGATTCTGAATACTAAGGGAGCAACGTATCCCTTCTTCTCTCATTTGAGAAACACTATGAGAAAGCAGCCTGAACTAACGGGAAGGTTGTGTGATCCCGGTGAAGGTCAAAATGAAAACAAAAGATGGGGAGAGGAAAAAGTGCTCAAGAATATGCCCACACAAGGGACAGAGATATTGAGACAGAAATAAAGACACAGACAGATAAGATGAGATATTTGCGGCTGACCGTTGCAGGTGATCTGGGAAGGGCTGGTCTCTTCACGATTCTCCTGCCAAGATGACTCCGCAAAGCCGGGAGAAATCAAAGAGCAGAAGCATCGGCGCATCCATCTCCAACTCAGCAGGGACCCCGAGATTTCTCCCTAAGTCATGAACATAAAAAAAGAAAAACAGTAGAGCCGTTTGTCAACTTTGTTCTGATGCAATGCAGTGCACGCCTGTGTGCATCTCTGTTTCCCTCTCCTCTTTCTCCTGCTCATCTGTATATTTTTTAGGCATTCAATTACTCCTCAAGTGCCCTACTACAAAAGGTATAAAACATCAGGGTTCCATATTCACTAAACAGTATCACAAAAATGAGGGAAAATAGCACAAACAAATAAAAAAATACTGTATGTTTAACAGTTCAGTGTTGAAATTCAATTGTCATAGTTTTTGATGCTTTGATAGTTTTATTTTACTGCAACATTCAACCTGCTTTCAAACTCCAGCAAAAATGGCAAAATTATTGGGGTATGTTCCAATGCAATTATGCATGCTGTCATGCATTTACATCATGTGAGTGTTGCAGGGCTCAGCAGAGATTACACTGTACCTATGTGTCTGCATTTTTTTGTAGCCATGACAGCAAGGTTACAGGTCACATAAAGAGCATTTGGCTGGCGGACAGTACAATAACTGCACACGAAGATTCACTTGATTCAGATTTACACATCCAAGACAATGCAAACACACTGTATATTGAGATCTATTCTAATGGACCTATGCATTTATCTACTGGCCTTACCCAGCCTGACAACTGCAGTAGAACACATCAAGGCTGCACACAAGCTATTTTAAGACTACAAGGCGAAACACTGCAGGAACACCTTCAATTTCCTGTGATTGCAGGTGCTCAGGTTGAAGGCAGAGATTTTTAGAGACACATATCCCCCCCTTAATGTGAGGTCTTCTCCCTGGATGTATACTGTGGGAGAGGAAGGCACTTAGATAACAAACAAACAAGCTTTTTTATGAGCAGAGTGGGCCACCTCATCACAACTCTGTTCACCTTCATTCAGGATTTCTTGTCTTGTTTAAGATCATACGCTGCACACATTATTTGTAGGTGTGTGTGGTGTGCAGGTGCCAATGTTATAATATATAAAAGATCTTTTGAATCAAATTCCACCTCCACAGAAAAACGCCCACACTCCTCTACTTGTTCTATAGCTGAGAGAATTAATCCAGAAAAAAAATCTGAATGTGTTCATATTTCATGCAAATGTATCACAACTTAGACGGAAAGCACAGAATGCATAAAAGCACAGAACTTCACATAATTAAATGCAAACGCCAGGCGGAACATAATGTAACAACATAAATATTCAGTATTTAGTGTAGGTACTAAGAAGAAAGGTTAGGAAGTTTGATTTTAAATGGGTATAATAATTTAAATTTTAAATAATATAATATTCTTAGGCCAGCAGGCAGGCTGTTCCAGTTGAGTAAAAAACAAACTGTATATGAGTTAATTTCCCTTGTTTATCTATGCTGCATTAAAATGTGGAAGTCATCAGGTTCGAAGTCGCGGAAGCGACTAAAATTGTGTATATAGCAATTTCCTACGCATATTTAAACCACATTACCTTAAACTGTCATACCTTAGGTCAAATTTGAAAAGATTTTGTCCAAAGGCACCGGATATAATAGGAATTTCATTGTTTGGCACAGTAAAATCTTCATGCTGTAGGAGAGGATAATGAAATCATCATAAAAAAAGCTCTTTTATTGTAATCATCTCTCTGTCCTAACTTCAACTCGTTATTTTTAAAACACAGAGTTCAAATGAGACCAGTCAAAATGATGATTATGTGATATTACACATGGGTCTGTGTTTATTAGTCAAAAATATGTTCTGCTTATTCATGAAATATTTATATTTTGTATTAAACATAACATGTTACAAGATTTAAACAAGCAAGCATGGCATTATATATTTAGTTACATAATAGTTTATCTCAAGGCCTGAGTCTATTCAAAAGAGCCAGCGGAGACTGGGTGAGTAGTTAGTGGTTTGATAAGCAGATCTACTTGTTTCTTGGTCGTCTCCTCGTGAGAAGGACAAAGAAAGTATATTTTGTGGTTTGGAATTGCAGATGTGACAACACCATGACCAGAGTGTGTTTTTATTTGAGGGACAAGGCCAGACTGGTGGAGGTGAGTGATGGAGCTGGAGCGCTGACACCTTTATTAACAATCATGGCAGCCACCTTACATCATACTGACAAGTCCCCTGGAATAAGGTGTTAGAAGAGGACAGTTGAAAAGATTCCAAAATACAATCAAATCAATCATAACAGGACTCAGAATAACTAAAACTCTTCAGATTATTTGGTGTCTGTCTGTGCATGTGTGTTTGTATTTGGATATAACAATTATTTGTAGCTGTTTTTTATTCATTTATACTTTTTTTAAACCAAAGTATATTATTTTGAAGAGAGGAAATACCCTCACACGACCGCAATCGGCTCTGCTCGGTATGGCCTTTCAGAAAATGTGAGAGATTAAACCAGAACTTTCACCTGAGAGTGAATCCTGCAATCCCTCTGCCCCAAAACATGCATGTCCTCCCAATTTCTCCTCTTTCACCAATCTGAAAAGAGAAGGCTGGCTCCGGGGGAGCACTGCTTTAATTCTGCCTTTTGCGCAGATTACTGCATGAAAGGGGGAGAGCAAACAGAAGAAAAACAGTGAATGTGGGTCTTTTTGATCCACTCAGCCAGAAGCAATGAAATTAGCCTGGTTATTGCAGCACATATGCACGGCATAGCATGGCATAGGCAGATATGGCAGACATTGAAACAAAACACACTTGATGTTTGCATCCATGTGGAGGAGGAAGCAGTAACGTATTTGCACAGTGTGACCAAGTTTCTAACTTTCTGTCTGCCAGGGGAGCAAAAGGACCCACTCAGTTCTGGCTGTAAAGTAGTTTTCTCTGTCTCAAGCCACAATAGTTTCTCTTCCTCCTCACCACTCTGCTTTACAGCAGTTCAAAGAAGCAGAACACCAAACTTTTGTTATGTGATCTGTGCTTTGGGTGTTTTGTCTTTTAAATTCTCCACTTTAATGAAATCTTCAAAGTGCAAGGACAAAAGGACGGAGAACATTCAACAGCGTCTGTACAGAGGGATTTGGCTGGCTGGTTTGGTTGGTGGTTGAGCTGTATTGGCCCATACAGAAGGATTTGGTTGAAAATAAGCACTGGCACTGACAAAATATACCTGACAGACCTGACAGGAGATTAATTTCTCATCCATTTTTTAATGTGACCCCAGGATTAAGAACATTAGGGGATTATCCACAGATTTGTCAACCAGAGGATCACAGCGGGACAGCCAGCACCTGGGTGAGGACACAATGCACCCAAACCCCCCCAAAAAAACCCGGATGTATCCCTACTCTTTTTAGCCAGGTAGGTTAGGTTAAGATAGAGTTAGTTAGGGTAAAGATAGACCAGATAATGTTCCCCGTTTTCATTTTACACATTTTTTTCTCTACATTCAGCATTTGTAAGCTTATGAATACTACAGCGTTTTGCCATACTGCACCAACTTTCTCTGGTAAAGTAGTTTGTCATTAATGCAAAGCAGACAGGGGCGAGGCCACGTTGCAGCAACAAACCCTAAACAATTTCCTGCTTGTGACATCTTTAATTTCCCTCCAGAGGTGACAGCTCATTCTGACACGTACTGCTTGTTCTAACTTTCTATGCCCACTCGCCTCCTCTGCATCCCCTAATAGCTTGTACTACACACAGCCCATCGACCCTGATAAATGTTTAGGTTCTGCACCATTACACAGCCAATAAAAATCAACGGCTGGCAAGTCTTAATCGGACACAGTAGCGTTCGCCCGGCCAATTGGACTTGTACCGACAGGAGGTAGAGAATAGCAGAGTGCTTAGGAAGATGGAAGAGACACGGAGGCAGAAGTACAGAGATATTAATTTACAGCTACCCACACTGAAATGCAATCACACAAAGAGAAGAATATGAATCACTACTGTGTATTACAGAGGCACACAGGGCTAGAAGATAATACCAATCTTGTGAGATTTGTTTCTGCAGAATGAAAGGACCACCTTTTAACTTGTCTGCTTTGCACAAGATGAGTGAGGAAGCTGCTGCTAGAAACCAAAAAAAAAAGACTGATAATGACATGGAAACAAAGAGAAACAAAGAAATTATACAAATATCACTACTTTGATGGGGAATTCAGTTGTTTCTTAATCCCAGGGGACGTGTAAGATTACACAAT